AATTTGCGTTGAAAACATGCATATTTTCAAAATTTTACCAACTATCATTCATTCTATTATTTATTATTTTATTTATTAAATCACAGTGATCAACTTGTCATAGGGCAATGATAAAACTTAAAAAAATAATTTGGAGTAGCAGCTGCTATTTCCTTTTGTGTAAAGTTAATATTTAAAAAGGAGGATAATAATTTGAAATCGATTTTTGTGTCTTTTGTACTAAGAGAATTTTACAAAATGTATGGGAATGATGTTTTGATTTTAACTTTTTACTCAATGGACTTTGACTTTTTCACTGCATTTTTCTCTCCGTGGCCTTTGAAGCTCTGGGATCTTGGCTCTTTGGCTTTTTGGCTTGGACTGGGGGCCTGGTGTAAAATGCCTGCATGATTGGCATTGCTTTTGTATCTTCGGCCATGTCCGTGTGTCGTCGCCAGCTTATTGACAATGCGTCAGGCGTTTGCTCCGCCGGCGGTGGTCAGCTTTGATGACTCCAGTTGGCCACTTGGACAATGTTGGCTAGTTGGCTACCTGGCTACTTGGCCTGTTAGCCAGAGACAAGAGAGATGGAGCTGAGCTGCGCTCTAAAAACTAGTTGCGTTGACATACCAATTAACTTGACAAATACATAATTGGTAGCAAAAACAATTAAATGTCCGCTTTTTGCTGGCTTTCTGCTACCGCCTTTTGATCAAGAACTCCATGCGAGGCATGCCCCTAAATACACGACTCTGATCGACCATTTCGCTGTCAGCTTATGAGTCTCAGAAATTCATTTAAATTTATCTAGTTGTCAACGTTTTTCAGCCGTTGCTTTAAGATATTTGCACAATTTGCTCATAAAAAACAAATCAGCAAGAGAAGAAAAAAACCTGTGGGTGGCAGGAGGATGAGGGGTTGCATTGGATTGGGGGTTATCTCGAACTGGAGACCCCGGGAGAGGGAGACGGATTGAGGGAGGGGGCAACGGCAGCCGCTAACGAAGCGCCGCCAACGTCTTGGCGATGCTGTTTGCTGATTTTCTTGTGGGCAGCCCTCGCTGACTAAAACAAATACCCTTCGGGGTTGAAAGGCATTACTGGTTTGGTAAGGAATTTTGCGCTTGTTATTTGGCATTGAAAAATATGTTTTTATCGCATCTTATATGAATTACACAGGAACACAAAATTAAACTTTGTGAAATTTCCACGAACCATTTCAAGTTTTCCATGATATTTGGGTGCTCCTGAGTAAAAGTCCCATACAAAATTATTTTCCATCACCTACAGGTTCCGCGGTATAGCTAAGAATACAAAAAACCGGTGTTGGTCGACATTTTGAATTACGTGGCCTATATAATTGGACTAACCTTTAATATTTTCGGTAGGACCTACTCTCAATACATCACGGCTTTCCTAAAAAATAGTCCCCATTGTGAACCATTGCCCATGTCTTTGGAATTCGACTCCAAAGTTGAAAATCCCAAAATTGTAGAGATTTTTCTGATGGAAAAACAATTCTGAGGATTAAATCTTGAATGGAAGTAATTTTAACTATTCATTGTATCTATTGTTCATTGTATGCTTTAATTTCGGTTTACAGCGTTTTCATGAGAACATTTTATTGGATTTCTTATACTAATAAAACCGATTTTTTTATTTCATTATCTACTCCTAAATGTTGTCAAATTTTGAATAAGTCATGGCAACCTCTAGAACTAAGAAACTAAAATACGTTCACTGAACATACATAGAAAAATGTAAATGTTTACTCCCATTCTGTAGGATGCCTTGACTTTTTTAAAATTTGACAACATTTAGGAGTAGATAATGAAATAAAAAAATCGGTTTTATTAGTATAAGAAATCCAATAAAATGTCCTCATGAAAACGTTTTAAACCGAAATTAAAGCATACAATGAACAATAGATACAATGAAAAGTTAAAATTACTTCCATTCAAGATTTAATCCTCAGAATTGTTTTTACATCAGAAAAATCTCTACAATTTTGGGATTTTCAACTTTGGCGTCGAATTCCAAAGACATGGGCAATGGTTCACAATGGGGACTATTTTTTAGGAATGCCGTGATGTATTGAGAGTAGGTCCTACCGAAAATAACAAAGGTTAGTCCAATTATATAGGCCACGTAATTCAAAATGTCGACTAACACCGGTTTTTTGTATTCTTAGCTATACCGCGGAACCTGTAGGCGATGGAAAATAATTTTGTATGGGACTTTTACTCAGGAGCACCCAAATATCATGGAAAACTTGAAATGGTTCGTGGAAATTTTTGGCTGTGTACCTGTGTTATCTAGATCTTATTGTCAAAAAAATTTCCTTAATATTGAAATCCGATTTATTGGACCCATAAGTTTTGTGTAAAAATCAATTATTAATTTAATAAACTATACAATTTTTTTGACATTTTCTTAGGTTTCTAGTATTACTAAAATCAATGTATGATATATTTTTTCTTTTTAAGAAATTCTAATTTAATTATGCTCACCCTACATTAATACTTCATCCCAATATTATAGTGCAGAAAATTTTTAAAATGTTCTCTTTATTTTAAAAATTGTGGGTTTTCATAAACGTATTTTATTGGTTCCAAGCAGTTTCTGAAATCATAGCAATAAATAATTGGGTCTCCTTATCTAAAGGGCATTCCGCTTTCGCCATCTCAGAATCTGTTGACTTCTCTGGACTTTTTTTAACTCCTTTGGCTGAGGCTCTCTTTGGCAGGTGCAGTTTGCATTCGCTGTGTTGTTGCTCATTAGTTTTTTTCCCTGCTGCCACAGAGTCTACGTCTGTTACCATTTTGGGCTGGCTGGGAATCGTTCGCTGGATTAGCAGGTAAGGTAAGGTAAGGTAAGGTAGACTGCGCTGGGGCAGCCGCCAAAAGGAAAATCGAAATGTTTTGCCGTGTGCAGTCGGCAGTGCTCAGTGTGGGAAAACTTTTATTTCAAGGTTCAAAAGACGCCCGCAGAGTGTGAAAAATGGCTGAAACAAAAAGCCAAAGAGCTTCGGCGGAGGGTACGATATTATAGTGGCGATTTAAACCGATGGCTGCCCCCACGGCGTATGCGCAATGCCATAAATCCAATGTGACTCGCACTCGTCGGTGGCCCAAAACGTATCGGAGTCAAAGTTGGCCAAATGATGTTGTGGCCCAGAAAGCGAACGGTTCATGTGTGAAAATTTAGCTGAATAGCTAAATTGCTGAATCGAACCGAACCGAAGACACGGACACGGATACGCAGCCATGTTGTTTCATAATTATAACTTAAATACGACAGTTTCATATAAAAATCAACTAGTAAATCAACGTAAGCTCGCCTGGCAATTAAGTGGCTAGAAACGTAACACACGTTGGCTGTGCTGCTCGGAGGTGCCTTTTGGCTCGGTGGTGCTTGGCCAAGCACGTCGCTAACTTGGAATAAGCCCGGAATCGGACTTGGAGCTGCGAGCCAAGAGCTAAGAGCCAAGAGCGGCGGCGCTGCCCAAGCCAGCCAAGCGAACTGTCAATTATAACCAATCGCACACCAAGTGCACATTAAACCCTATCAACTGTTTTTGTAATTTATTGTTCGCCTGGGTTTTTCTCCTCTCTTCTCCGCCTGCCGCGTCTGCTTCTCATTTCTAAAGTTGCAAGTTTTGCAGTCGCATTTGGTGCGAGATCCGCATTGCACATTGAACACACAGCACACGCTGGGACAGTGGGCACTGCACAGTGGGCTAAAAAGATAGAACAATTTATAACTTTAATTTGGCCTAATTTCATGGGGAATTTATTCGTTTTTATACCCTTGTAGAGGGTATTATAATTTCAGTCAGATGTTTGCAACGCAGTGAAGGAGACGTTTCCGACCACATAAAGTATATATATTCTTGATCAGCACCAATAGCCGAGTCTATCTAGCCATGTCCGTCTGTCCGTCTGTCCGTCTGTCCGTCTGTCCGTTTCTATGCGAACTAGTCTCTCAGTTTTAAAGCTATCGCGATGAAACTTTCCCGAAGGTCTTCTTTCTATTGCAGGTAGTACATATGTCGGAGCCAGCCGGATCGGACCACTATATCTTAAGGCTCCCAAACAAATATAAGAAAATTCATTGTAACTTTGTAGGAAGTAGGCGTTTTAATTCTTGACTACTTAAAAACAAAATTGAAATAAATCGAAACGCTGAATCTGGAATCCCTGGAACTGCACCGAGTGAGTATTCTTTCTACAAGGGTATATAAGCTTCGGCTGGCCGAAGGTAGCTTCCTTTCTTGTTGTATATTTACTACCTATTTCAAGACAAAACAACCTTAGAATATTTCGAACCATGTTTCTCTTTCAAAAATAAAACTTTTAAGTATACTACTGTTTCTGGAAATCAATGAAAAATATTTTTTTCCTTTTCTTTATTTTCAAGATTGAGTCTCTAGAAATATTATTCCAATTATGAAAGCTTAAAAAAACAGTAATTAAATTTAGTTAAAATAATTTATGATTTAGCTGCGTTGTACTTTTATTCTACAAATAATTCTAAATACATTTTTTAATAATAAGAAAGCTTAAGATGTAAATGTCATGAATATATTTAATTGGAATATATAGAAAAGTTAGTTTGAGCTTGATAATATAATTTCTTTATAAAATACATTTTTTCTATATTTTTGTTTCATTAATTTAAATTTTAAATTTAAGCTAAAAAAACTAATTAATTAAAAGCTTATATTATTTCGGTTCAAAGTTAACCCTTTTACCAGCTACTTTCCACCACGGTGCCCTCTCTGCGGCGATGACTGCTTTTCTTGACTTGGTCTGGGGACGATCTGGCCTCATCATAATTATCGCCGACTGAGACTGGGGCGGCACGTTCGACTACGCACACGAACAGAGGGGGTGGCTAGGGGGCGGGGCTGGGAGATGGGGGATGGGGGTTACCGGCTGCTCAACGTAAATCTAGCTAAGTCAAATGAGCAGTTTATGGCCACAGCGACGACCATTTGAAGACGCGCCAAAGGAGCCCGAGATGGAGGAGCCTGTCTATATAGCATCACAGCATCTATATGCATCGCATTGGATAGCATCGCATCGCATCGGATCGGATCTGCCGGGTGCCACTTGGGGGCAACATTCACTTTTTTTATTGCACCACTTTGGCAATAGGCACAAGTGTGATTTCAAATCTCTGGGTCGCCCGGTGTTTGGTGTTTACTGTGTTTCTTCGTTGTGGCCTGTAGCCTGTTGCCCGTTTGCCCGTTTGGCTGTTCCCTGTTGCCAAAGCTAAATTGGCAGAAATATGAAGTCAGCGTGTGCATTTCGGTAAAAGCGGTGATTACACACACACACATTCGGATATATACTAGTAGAGTTGGACAGGAGAATGGCCATTTGGGAGACGAGAAATATATGACAGCCGGAGAGTTGCCACATAATGCGCATTAGCATACGCCATCGTAGCATCCCGCATACCTCATCCTCCGTCCCCCATTCAGTTCCCTTCTCTCCGAGATCTTCAATGCTGCTGCTGCTGGACTTCCCTTTCCAGCAATTGCAAATGGGGCAAAAGCGGAAAAGACACAGAAACAGCAAACAGCACTGTGGGCTGACGTTGATGGCCAGTTCAATTAAATGCCATCAATTTTAATAACGCGCCTGCCTGGGCTAACGGACCTCGACCCGGGGCTTACTTTACCTGCCTCCCTCGAAAACTACAGTCCAACTTCTGAGACTTAAACCCTTTCTAAGTCAAAGATTACTAAAATCTAAATATATTTAAAGATTGTAGTTCCGAGTTCCGAACTTATTTGTATTTAAAATTTAATATTATTGATGGTTAAATATTAATTACCAATAAACAATTTAAATTGGAATTGGATGTCTTCAAAAAGTTAAAGGCTAAGCGAGTTAATAATTGCAAAGGGAGAATACAATAGAATATATTTATTGCAAAATGGTTCTCGTTTCTATTGATTTGCATTTAAACTAGTATAACAAGATTCACAAAGTAGAAATCGTATTAGTTAGTATGTGCGAGATTTATAGGGTTGAACCTTTTTAATAAAATACGTAAATAACAAGTAAGTTTGTAGCTTCCTATCCTCAAAATAAAATCCTTAAATAATGTAAAAAAAATATTTTTATAGTTTTAAGGGCTTCCTTTAGTCGTTTTTACACAAAGGTTTTTCCCTAAAGAAGTCCTACTGTATGTCTGCTACCTTGGGCACTGTAACCCGGTGCTAGTGAAACAAAACGCTCGCTGGCATGGAAATTACAAATGCATCAAGCCAGGGCACACATGTGTAGACAGTCGCAAACGCACTTGAGGCACTTGAGGCTAAGAAACCAGCGGACCAGCGGTTCCAACGGACCCCATTCTCTGCTTGGCCGGTCAGTTTTAGCCCGGTTCGGATGGTCTGGTCTTTTTGCTGCTGTTGTTGTTGGCTGGCTGACTGGATGGCTGGCCGCCATGTGGCCCTCGGTCATGTGGAGTTTGCAGGCTTGACAAAGCACTTAAGCCTGGGTCACTTGTTCAAGTCGCCTCGATCCCCTTTCGCTGGCCTTTTGTCTTGGCCTCTGACAAACGAGTTGCAACGCCAAGAAGAGTGAAAATTGAATGTGCTTAGCAGGCGAAAAAACAAAAAATCGAGGGGTGGCTTAAGGTAACAGGAATAATTGTTAAATACTTTTTCAACATGGTCTTGGGTTTTTATATCCCAAATTTAAGCTATATAGTTTGAGGCAAACGCCATAAAGTGTTAGGATAACTAGATATATTGTAGATAGATATAAGAAACCTAATGAGTAGTCAGTTAAATTCTAAAGGTCTGTTGACGAAATAAATAAATATTATACAACAAAATAGATTTAAAAAAAATTGATTTATTAATTATTTTATTACTTAATTGGAAAACAATTTTTTTTAATTACAAGATCTAAATAATGCAACCCATAATAAAAATAAACCAAAAATAAAATACCTAAACAGTGGTCTTAAATTCTACCTAAATTCAGTACTTAAATTAAATAATAATTAGTTTCATTCATTTTTTGTCGGTTTATTAATATTTAATAAATTATGTAAATAAATAAGTGACCTTAAAACTGAAGTCTAAGCAATCCAAGAAAGAAAGAAGCTACAAAAATCTTGAATCAAGACAAGTGGCCAAGTGGAGTGGCAAAAGCCTGAGCAAACTTCTCACAGATTTCGGTGTGGAGCACCCTTCAAAATGAGGGGCAGGTGGGGCATGGGACGTTTGGCGACCAGCAGCAGCTGCAGTTTGGCTGGCAATTGATGTTGATGTCGCGGGCGCCAAAATCGACACACTTGTCCCAACTGAAACAGCAACTGCAACTGGAACTGCAAATGCAACTGCAACTGGCAGCCGAAAGTGGCAGTCGTCGTCGTCTGGAGCCCAGAGTACAGGTTAAATGGATCACGACTGCACGGATTCGCTGTCCGTCTGAATTGGAATCTGAGTCCGCGTCTTGGAGTCTTGGACTCTTCGGGTCTTGAAGCCTCCAGTCTCCGTCCGTTCGTCTGGGCTGTCTGCCGGCCATAAAATACGCGACATGCAAACGTTTTTGATGCAATGAGGCGGTCGAACGAAATTAGGAAATTGTGTAAAGACTCTCGGCTGACAGGCCAAAATGTTCCCGGCCGACTGTTTCCCTGCTCTTTTGAGTTGCAAATTCTGCAGGAGGAATTTTCTTTATGTCTTCGTATATGTAAAAACATAAATATATTATAAATGTATAAAATATATAATATAAAAACATATATATATATATTCAAATTTTTCTCCAGTCTATAAAGCCTTCAAAAATGTAAAAACAATTAATTAAACGAAGAAAAAGCCATATTTGGATATTGTTCACATAGTTTGAGGTTCTGATATTTATTTTTTTTAATATAAATTAATATATAAAGATTTTTACCAATATAGATGAAATATTTCCATAAAAGTACAACAAAAAACACATTTTAATCTGCCTAATGAATTTCCCAACTATTGACCACCTAATATCTTATCGATCATCGCCAGGGTATCAATATCTTCGACTAATTTAATTAACTAACCTACCTGGTATTTTGGTTAGCAGTTAGGCTCAGTTTGCGGTTCATTTACGAGGCTCATTAGGCATTGGCGGCCATAAAGTGGCCTCACCATTTTGGCCATTTTGTTAACCGAATCTCGATGGGTTTTCTCAACCGCTCTACCGCTTTTTCTCCCCTCTTGCAGCGAGCACTTCGCATGGCAGCAGCAGCAGCAGCTGCAGATCCTCGTCGGCCACCAAGGCGGTTGGCTACAGCAATGGCAAGCAGAGTGGATCATCCGGCTCGTCCTCGTCTTCCGGCTTTGGAGCGGGCTCAGCTGGATCCTCATCGTTGGGAGCCTTTGCCCGCCAGCAGCAGCAGCAACATCAGCAGCAACAGCAACTGCAGCAGCAGCAACAACTCTATGCCTCCGGTGTGTCCAAGTTGCCATTCTCGCCGTTCTTCGCGGCCTCGCCATTCTTTTTCACCTATCGACGGATCAGCGGAAGTGGAGGTGGCACCGGTGGCGGTGGTGGCAAGCAGGAGGACAACAACAATAGTTGCAGCTACAACAACGGCAGCAGTAGCGGCGGAACAGGAGCAGGATCAGCGAACAGCATGCAGGACTATGACCGCAAGTTCTCGCTGCTGAGTTTGTTCAAGAATCCCTACAAGTTCGGAGATGGTCAGGGCACGAGAAAGTCGTCGCCAACTGGGGGATCCAGCAAATCCCTGGCTGGCACGGGCTGCTCCAGTTCCTCGCCGAGTTGGAAGAGCTACGCCGGTTCGGGGTCACCACATGCCGCCCTAAATCCCGCCTTCGGGGGCATGGCTCTCGGGGCAACGCGCAAGGATAGCAGCAGTTTCAGCGGCATTAACTTCGGAGGCGGAGGCGGCTCCGCCTTTGGACGCTCCTCCTCCGACTCAACGGCCAACGGCGGCTACAATGATCTCTCCAAGAACCGCAAGGTACACAAGTGCGACACCGAAGGATGCGACAAGGTGTATACGAAAAGTTCGCACCTCAAGGCGCACAAAAGAACGCATACAGGTGAGTTTGAGTCTATTTTATATACATTTTTACATTAAATAAATAAAATAAATGGGGAAAAAAGTATTTCAAATGTATTAACAAATTTTGCAACACTTTTTAAAGAAATTACAGAGTGCGATGGATATTTTCAATCACTGATATATTGTGCTATTAAAATTGGCCAAAACATATTAATATTATGTCGATCCTATTAATTTCATTTGAACTAAAGAGTTAAAAGCTCTAATTTATCACATTTCTTATCGAAAGACATTCGCTTGAAAGCCATGAAAATGTCTATACCATAAAAGGAAACAGCCTAATTAACATATTCGTGGAATTTTGTTTACTTTTTCTGACTTTGATTTGCTTGTTATGAGGAAAATAAAAATATGTAGATAAATACCAAAAACAAAACGCTTTTTTTAATTTAGTTCATTTATTTACTATAGGTATCCGCAATTTAGTTGAGAAGGCTTTCAAGAAACCCACTTCCTTTCACTTGTAAAATTTTTTGTAAAAAGAATCATTATGCTAAATTTGTAATTTAACATAATCATTTAACAAATAATAAGGAAGACACGTTAATAAACGACTTATAAGGAATTACCAACTAGTGAATTTATTCTTTAAGTTAAAAACCCTGCGTTGCTTCGAGTAAACTAACCCGATGACATTGCAATCTCCCCCAGGTGAGAAGCCGTACGTGTGCACGTGGGAGGGCTGCATCTGGCGCTTCGCCCGGTCGGATGAGCTGACCCGGCACTACCGGAAGCACACGGGCGTGAAGCCCTTCCGCTGCCAGCTGTGCACCCGGAGCTTCAGCCGCTCGGACCACCTGTCGCTGCACATGCGCCGCCACTGAGGATTTGGGACTGCCGATCTGGCCATACATACTCGTACTCATATATCCGAGAATACTCATCTGGGAGGCTGCGGGGAGGGGAAGAGCAGCTCTTGATTATTTATATGCACTCGAATCACTTCCATTGATCATTTACTGAGACCAGATATTCCATATCGCTTAAGTAGCTCAATTTAGACCGTAAGCGGGCTCAAAGCCCAAATTAGTGGTAGCTAAACTATAGTTATGGGGCCGAAAGATTTGTAAAATTTTTCACACTTCAAGCCCAGAGACAATTGCCTTCAGAAGCCAAGTTAACAAAGTGGATTTTAACCTACTACACATAGAAATATCTGCATAGTTAAATATACATATTATATACATATACAGATAGTTTTGGATTGGTGCTAGCAACTTGCGTGTACATAGATCTAGATAAACCTTTTACAACCTAGTGCGATAAGAAGAAATTTAACTAATTTTAGATCAAATTTTTATTGGTTATTAAGTAGAAAATTTTATACAAAAAGACAAAAAACTACAAAGGAGGCAAAATAAAATACAAAAAACCGGAAGAGCCGAGCAAAGCAAAGCAATATTTATATATAGAAATTCTCTCATCTGTAGGGTATTTTAAACATTTTGTACTATACGCATATGATGTGATAGTGGATGAGGATTTTGGCCAAGAGGGGTGCGATAAGGGAAGGTTTGAATAGCTTAGAAATTAGTGTTTTCCCATATTCGTTTTCTATTTTATGGTTTTCTGTTCTTGTTATAAAATTAAATCTGTATGCTCTTTACTTTACAAATTAATAATAAATTATTTTATTCTAGGAAATCTTCTGTATGTTTATATCATCATTATCATATACACTCTTTATAACACGTTTTACGATTATAAGACCTCTTGGTGTATTGACAATTTCACATTATTACAATCATTCTCTATTTTTAATTTTTATATGCGTAAAACGCTTTATAAATTCAAATAAATTACAGGAAAAAACTTTGGAAATATACACTATCAAATTTAAATAATTTATAAACATTGTAAACTGCCTTATAGCTACGGAACGCACTGTATTCCCTGGCGGACCCCTAAAGCAATTTGCCTCATACCAACTGTCATCATAGATTTTAGCACACACACATACACACACTCACAAAAGCAAAACAAATTGTATTATTTTTTGAGAAATAAAAGAAAAGCGAATACTTTTTTGTACCAAACGAAGCCTTGGCCGTGCTCATTACGGGATCGCTGGCCAAATCCGAAGTCCGCGATCCCAAATCCTCGGAGCATTTTCATTTGAATGAAAAATCAATTGGCGCACAATGGGGCTGCGGTTAACCCACAAGTGTGCCCCTGGGTTCCCCCGACACCCCGTTCCCCTTCTGGAAAAAGAGATATGTGTGGCAAGTTGTCAGCGACTGCCGGCCGCCTTTTGCTTTGGCTTTTGTGGCACGGCACTCTGCGGCATGCGGCACGCACTCCCCGCCAATTGCAATTGTCCAGGGGAGCATTGTCGTCGTTTGTCGTTCGGCGTTTGTCGTTTTGCAACTTTGCAACGTACAACTGCGCCGTTGTTTGCAATAATAAAGATGACAAATTTCTCGTCATTTGTAATTTCAATGCGAAAAGCCGGAGCTTTGTGGCTGGGTAGTTGGATAGCTGGATAGCTGGAAGCTGGATCTTTGGGCCTGGCACCGCCGGCTAATACGCATAACTGGTTGGCTCGGCTTGGTTTTGGCCCGAACTGAACTGAACTGGACTGGGCTGGGATGACACCTGCAGCGGAAATCAGTGCATGAATAACGCTCTCGGTCATTAAGGCACAATTGTGAAATATTACGCATACGCCATGGCAATTTATTGGTAAATTAATAACCGAATACAAGCCAAACGGACAGTAGCAACCGACTGCTACTACTGCTACTGCCTTTTATTTTCCAACTGCGCTTAGTGGTGTTGCCGTCACCGCGTTTAGCATAAAGGTTAGACAAATATAACAGACCGGTTTTTTGGGTTAATTAATATGCCTTGGGTCAGGTCAATATTGCGGCGACTGTTCAGTCGATGCCGGAGGAGGAATGGATGGATTGTGGTCGGTGGATGGGTAAATGGTGGGCCGGGGAGGTCAGGTTTAATGACCCAAACGCATATGCAAATGAGTAAAAGTAAATAAAGTGAGAAGGTGCCTTAATTAACACTGATCGACGTTATGGATGCCCTGCAGCGGCCATTGAGCAATTCTTTTGGTGCCGGGGTAATCCAAAAATGGGGATTTACCCATGGGAAGATAGCTAATGATTGGAAAATAGGTAAGTAATTGTTTTGGGTCTAATATTATATATCGTAATATACTTTTCCAGTTTTTAAATTTTTTTTAAATAAATAGCCTAACATATAAGTTATGCAATCTCTTATTAAACACCTGGTTTTATTAATCCACTTATTTACTTTTAATTTATAACCGTTATAAACTATTAGCTATCATAAAAATATCATCGTTTGCTCATGTTTTATGGGTAATAATCCATGATTTCGTTATATCGCAAATGCCCCATGCCACCCAGTGGACAAATATCAACTGAATACATTTAGATAAGCATTGAAATCACAGCGCTGCTCATTAAAAACCAATAAAGTCGCGTTGCGATGCAGCCAGCAAACGCTGTCCATCATTTTGGAGGAGGATGAGGAGGAGAATGGGGATGAGGATGAGGAGTCGATCTGGGAGCGGGAACTATCTACATTCGAGTATGTGTGGCTCAGCCTGTCGGCAGCTGTCCATCAGACAAAAAGCGCTCCAATAACCAAATCGACCGGCGAGCAATTGAAGGAGTCTTAAAGATGGGGATTTTCAGCTGGCATCCATATCCATCCACCTTTACACAGAGAATAAATATTTTTTCCACAGATTAAAATTAGTTTAAAATATTAGTATTAGTATAAGTTGTATAATATAATAAGGTTTATCAAAGTTTAACATCATTATCTAACAAAACATTCTTAAAAAATATTCATAATTAATTTTATTAAATTATATAGGCTTAAAAAGTTTCAATATTAAAAAATGATATTAATCTAAAGGGTTTTGAGTCAGTCATAAAATATACCCCAAAAATTCTACAAAGTTTATATAGTTTAAGCAAAAAATAAACTTTAAAATGTAATTTTTATTAGGCGGCTCTCACATATTTCTCATTATTTTCCTTGATACTTTATCATATTTATCTGTAAGAAATATAGAAAAAATATTTCCCGTGCACTTAGCCATCGACATCCATTTTTAATTTATTGTTATGCCTTTCTGCTGCCTTTTGGCTGCTGCAGATGCAGTTTTGGAGTGGCAGAAGGCAGAAGGCTGAAGGAGATGGGGATGGAGCTGGAGCAGTTGCTGTTTGGAGCTGCTGGTCGTCAGGTCATGTGCAATTTATGAAACGGCTTTGCATTGGCCGCGGCCTGATTTTTGAGACACATTTGGATTTGGATGACTGTCGCAACGGCGGCAACTGCGGGCTGCTGCCGCTTCTGTCCGTTTGATTTGTGATCGATTGTGTGTCGTTAGTTTGCGACATGGGGCATGAAATCTTTGACACCTAACGGTAAACGAACGGGCCGCGAACGAGACCTCGGATCACAGCAGTGGGTGCCCCCCTTTAGAGGCCCCCTTTTGCAGCCCCCAAGTCAAACATTAAATTGGAACGATGATGCCGGGGCAGCAGTTGTCAGTTGGCCAAAGTGTTTGGCAGTTTTGCCATTTATTTTACAGGTGAGTGAGCATAATGGACAGTTGCCCGTCGCAGCAGTCGCAGAAGTTGCAAGTTGCTGGTTGCTGGTTGCAAGTTGCCGATACATGCTGTGCGCTTTGGCTCAATTAAAAATGGAATCGTCTGGAGGAGCAGGAGGTCGCCTCATTTGACAATTGCCCGATTCCCAAATACAGGCAAATAACCGTTTGTGCCTGTCTTCGCTTGGCTTTCTTCCTCTCAAGATCCCCCTGCCCCTTTATTGCTATATCGCCTTCTATCTGGCTGTCGCTCGCAGTCCCATGTTTAATTTTGTTAAGCAAAAATGCTGGAAATTAAAATTCCCATCACACCATAAAACCCATAAATCATCTTTTATCTAAGCGAGTCTATCGGCGCATGTGAGCGCGCGCCAACTTCGGTTCGGGTTCGTTCAGGAAAAACAACAGAAAACCCCAAGCGAACGTGGAGCTATAAGTTTTTTATATATATAGAGAGAGAGATGCTGCCTGGACGCGATTGGGAACCTGCTCGGACCTCTTCTGCCTTAATGAGAATTTAATATTTTTCAATAAAAATTTGTAAAAGGCGCGTTAGCTGCTTGTCCGTGCTGCGTCTGCGCAGACTCCTCTCACCGAAACCCGGCGATTCGGTGGGGGCGATGGTGTGGGGCGGTGCACATTTGCCATGTGTGTCTTGGCTATTAACGCACTTTTGTTTCTGGCCATTGGGCATTGGCCATGGCCTGGCCAAGACTGCGCCGCGAGTGTATCGCTGGCCCGAAACGATGATTGCCGGCGTAGAAGAAGCTGAGGCAGAGGCGTCGGCTGCCCGAAGGGGGCGGTTCGGAACAGGGGTCTTTAAGGTGGTTCTAACTACTTTTATGATCCTGTACATACCATGTTGTAATTGTGGGTATTATGTTTATATTTATTGTTTGTTTTGCAGTCACTGAAACGAGGTTCTTATTAATAAAATCATGATGTATGGAACTGCAAGAAACAGAAAAATTAGTCATGCTATTTTTTATACCAGCTTAAGTCGCACACACACTCGTGTCATATAAGTGCATGATAAAGTTGGGTAAATATAAACACAATTATTGCATACCATTTATAATGAATACAACATTTACTTCCTATAAACTTATTATAATAATTTTGCTAGTCTTTAAAGTTTCAATATTAGTAAGACATTTTTAATTATACTTTTTTAAATATAATTTTAATAGGGTTTAAATGAAGTGAAGCCTTCAAATCGAATATAATAATTTGTAAGAAATATAATTTACATTTAATTTGAAACCCTCTTTAGATCAAAAAGTAAGCCTCTGTCAGTAGTCTGGTCTTCCCTTTGTTTGTTTTGTTTATTATATGGAATTGTTGCTTGGCTTTTTTGTGTCCTTGCTCCAGACTCTTAGGCCCATTTTCCTGAGCAGATCCTAGATCTTTGTTTATGTTCCTCCTGCCCAGTTGCACTCGCAGTCCCAGTTTTTATTCCCCGCCCAAGGCAATGTCCCTGCCCAATGTGAGGCACACATTGAATACGAAATTGGTTGCTGAAGTTCAACTGGCAATTGGCGAGACTCGGCCAAGAGTGTCAATTGTCAGTGGCTGTCGCCGTTTAGCCGTCTTGGCTGGGTCGACTTGGCCTTCTGGGGCAGGTCTGCAAGTCTGCAGTTCTACAAGTGGGCCTAAAAACTGAGAATGAGAATCAGAATGAGGACCCAGCCCATCGTTGGCGGCGCATGCAGACTGGTGAGCCTGTTTTAATATGCCAACAATGACAATCAGCTGTCACCTCTGGTGCGCCATGTGTCTAGAGTCTGGAGTCTAGACGCCGCGACTGCGGGCCAAAAGAAATTGCATGCAACAAGCAACCTGAGCGATTGTGGCAGCAGCAATAGCAACGACGCACTGGCAACAACGAAATAAATATGTCATTTGGCTCATTATAAAGATAGCAAAAGTCTCTTTCTCCCTGACCAGAACTGAGCTTGCAACTAGCAACACTGGTAACTTGCAACTAGCAACGTGCAACATGCAGCATGCGGCGTGCCCCTAGAGCTGCTGCGTCACATTTAAACGTTTAATGATAATTTATGAATGTTGTTGTTTTTTATTGCAACAACAATGCCGTAAACCAATAAATCTTAAGGATCACATAAATCTTGGCGCTAACTGAGACGGCGACTGCAGCGCCAGCAACACACACATCAGCAACATCAGCGGCAGCAGCAGCAGCAGCGTCCGCAAAACAGAGCAACTTCCACTCACAACTTGCCACAAGTCGCAGAGAATCATTGACCAATTGGCCAAAACTGATATACCCTAATAACCGAATCGCACACACAATTAACTTGGTCACTCAGGAAGTAAAAGTTCAGGAATATGATTGTACAGGTGCAAATGTTGTACAGGTGGGGAAAATTTGCTGAAGGTGATTATTTAAGGGAAGATACTTATGATATACATACTTTTT